TCGGGGCCAGAGAGCACTCTCAGGAGGGCACAGGCCCTGGTCAGTCAGCCGTCCAGCCCAGTGGCCTTGGCCTTCAACCTTCCATTCCAGGTAGGAGCACCCTTTATGTTCCAGCCCAGTACTCATACACATAGACATGCCCAGATTCTCCCCAGCTGCCTGTGTCATAGTTTTCTGTTTAATTTGTTAGTGCTTCTTGGTTGTGCCCCACTCAGTTGATTTCATGACCCAGAGTTTGAAAAACACTGGCCAGACAGCCCTGGTGCCAGCAGACATCATGGGACATGGTCACCAGAAAAGTGAAAGGAAGCATGTGCTGTGCGCATGACGCCGACTCACTCCCTCCCCCGCCGGCGGCTGCTGCCCTGACACCCAGCCCAGGTCCACTTTGCGCTGTCAGGGCAGCAAACCCTCAGGCAGCAGGGGTCCCACCCACATACCAGGCAGGGTACCATGTAGTGCTCTTGCTGGGGACTTGGCCCCATGCTGGTACTCTGCTTCCTGTCACGTTGTCTGTACAATGGTGATGGCGAGTCTCTCCAGACACACAGCAGGCCCACAGCACGTGGCTGCTCTTGTCACTGAGGGCACCCAGGGTTAGCAGCTGGGGGCCTGGGAACCCAGAAGCTGCTGCCATAGCAGACTGGGTGCTTTCCCGTGTGCCCCCAGGAGCAGCTACTCCATGACTGGATGGAGGGCTGCTTGCTGGGCCAGTCTGTGGCATTGAGGGAGCCGGGAGCACTCTGAGTGATGTGGGAGCTTCGCCCTCAGCGGAGGCCTGGCTGGGAGTGAGCGGCCAGCCCGTGCCGGGGGACCGAAGCTCGCCACTTTGTCTGGGGGGGGCTGCCCAGTGCCACAGATGAAGGGAAAAGTGGCCCTTCCTTTCTCACACTGAGGTCGGAAGGGAAGCTAGAGTTTTCTGCTGTTCAGATGTCCCCCCGCCTGTCCTGGGGCGCAGACTGGCGGCTGCACATTGGGGTCAACTGCCGTTGTCAGGGGGCTGCGCATGCACACACCTGCACGTGTCGGAATTGACTCAACGGCAGCGGGTTGGGTTTGGGCTGTTGTTGTTTTCTTTTTGGTTTGGGTGAGAAGTAGGTAAGAGCCATACCGTGTACTCGGGAGAGCAAAACGACACCCCAAACTGAGTACAAAGTGGCCCTTGTATAAACATGGCAGCGTTTCCCCAAAACCGCTCCCAAGCGTGTTCTCACTGGCCAAAGCATCTTGTAGGCCTTCTGCCCGTGGGCTGCCTGGTCCCTGTAGTGGGGCTGAGGGAGTTGAGGGGGCCTGAGGAGGGGCTGGGTGGACCAGTGGTGGCAGGTAGCCCAGGCCCAAAGCTGCCCTGGAAGAATCAACGGAAGACAGAACCTGTCATCCCAGCCAGAAATAGAATCAGTCGAACACATGTGAGGACCAAGAAGCCAGCGTATTACTTGGAGATGTGTAATATCTCCCCAGATGTCTTAGATTATCACACGGATTCACTCTGCCAAAGACGGTAACGTCCTTGGTGGTGGCCCCAGGCAGCCACGAGGGAGGGATCCTGTGTTCTCCTTTGAGCCAGAGTATGACAGAATCCTCCATTATTGCCAGTTTGCATTCAGAGGACAGATGAAGTGGACACCGAGGAGTTGCAGAGAGATGATTTATAGAAGTGATGGCTTTCTTCCCTGGATTCCAGAATGGCTTGAATCTGCATTAACTTATTCATGTAGAAACTCTGAGGGGGACTTTAAAAAGAAAAAAAAAAAAAAAAACAGAAAAAGATAGGGAACTGAGAGCACGAAAATAGACAGCAGCCCTGTGCCTGAGTGTCGCTGGGCCGCCGGCCGGCCGGGTGCACACTTCCTTCTCCAGAAAGGGGCCGATTCTAAAACAAAAACTGCAGTTGAAGTCTTCCAGAATCTGAAAGATAAAGGCCGGCTGGCTGAGGCTGATGGGAAATCCGAGCGCCACCGTGCCGCGTGCTTTCTGGTTTTTGAGGTGGTTTGGAGAACTTGGTTGAGAATCTCGCGCTGGAGAAGTTGTTTTCACCATCCTAGCTGCCTCAGGCACTGGATGCGCTCTTGTGGGCGCTCACTGGGGCTTCCTGGTTTTTTAAATAGTTCAATTTCTGTTTTTCTTTTAGAAAAGCACAGTCCATTAGGACTTTCTGCCTGCCCCGGGGTGCTGCTGCAGGCTGCCCTGTGATGTGGGAGACCCCAGGAGTCTGTCCCCGACACCCGGCTCTGCCCTGTCTGCTCAGTCTATTCCTGGATGTTCTAGATCACCAAACCACAAACCATTCTCCTTTGTTGACTCCGGGAGCCCAAATGGAAACGTTCTGCTTCCCTGGGTGAAACTGGACCGTGGCCCCTTGCAGCCCACTCCCCACACCTGACTGCATGTTGGCCCCGAGAGCTGGCAGCCATGGACTATCCTTATTTTAAAGGTGGAAAAATTGAGGCCCGGAAGGCTGAGTACCTGAGCCAGGACAGGAGAGCAATGGCTGGCTCTGAGTTGTTCTGCTGAGCCAGTGTTCAGAGCCTCAGTTTCCCCTTTTAGTTTTAGGGGTTAAATGTGCCCCACCCTCCTGGGCAGCTCCGTGTGGGGCGTGGGCTGCATTAACCTCCAGGCAGCTGTTGGCCCAAACACCCCATTGTATCTGGAGCCTCCCAGGGAACAGATGCCTGGGTGTGTCTGCTCAAGGCCATTCTGTTTCCTTCAGCTTGCACACTGGGCTGGGTGGGCCGCCCTCAAGTGCAGCCCACATCTCTCCCCGCGGCCTGTCCCAGGCAGGGTCCCCCCAGAGTCTGATTTCCACCCAGCCCCGAAGCTCCCCAGTCACGTGGGCAGGAGCTCCTCCCCACCTTCCCACCCCCGAGAGATCACCTGAGGGATTATCTGGTGCTTTTTGCCCTGTTGACACTGTTTATGGTGTTTTGTAATCAGAAAAGACGAGATTAAAAAGCGCGCCTGGCTAGGGACTTTGGATTCCAGCAAGACACCTGGGGATCCTGAGCCTTGAAGATTTTCCTTTAAAAATCTGTTTCTGAGGGGTAGCTCCACACAGAGGGCCTGGGTCCCCCACCCCTGCTGTGTCCCACAAGATTGGGCCCCCAAAGACAGGCACCCAGGCAGCTTCTGGAATGTTTGTTGAGCGGCTGCTTACAGTTGGAGCCTCCATTTGGGTGAGAGAGAGCCTTGTAAGTGAGGGCGGGACTCTGGCCCCTGGCATCAGATTTGCCGGGATTTGTGTGACTGCAGACTGACCCTCACGGGAAGCCACAGGCAGGGAGCCGTCAGAGATGGAGCCACAGTGAGCAGAGCGGGGCTCCAGCCAGTCTGCAGAGGACAACCCCCACCTCTGCTCCCCCAGCTCTGTGGCCACCTGGTCCAGAAGAGGTGGCACAGTCCCAGGCCTGGGCCCGTACCGCTGCCCCTCAGCCTGTTTTGTCGCTATCAGCTGCTTGGTTTGGCCATGATCCTGGTTGGGGCAGCCCCCGCTCTGTGGCCAGCTGTCGGGCAGCCTCCTGCGGGGCTGAGATGCGACAGGGATGGGGCATTCAGTCCGTCCGTCTCCACTCCTCTCATCCATGGCCCACCCTGTCCGCTTGGTGTTAGGGGCTTCGTCCGTGGAAGTCCTGGAGCCATGTCTGCGCCTGGTAGCCCCCCTCTGTCACGTTCACCTGTGAGGGCGAGCGAGGCAGGGTTCTTATCTGCCCTTGAGCGGTGTGGGCCCCAGACGCAGGCATCAGGCAGTGCACGGTCAGGCAGCAAGGGCATGGGATGGGGCTCCCCCTCCTGCTTCCAGGCCCCTCTGTACTGGGGGCCCCATCACGGGATGTTCCGAGGGGCATGCTGGGCCCGTCCTGACTCAGCGGGCCTGCCCATCGGTCTGTCTACCTGCCCGTCTCTGCTGGTTCATGGCTCCCAGCCTCTTCTGTCCCTTCGCCCTCCCCCACTGCAGCAGGGACCACTCTACACCCTTCATCTGTGCCCTGCAGGACCGTCTGTGTCTGCTGGCCGTGCCCCAGGAAGCCCTGCCCCAAGCCTGGCCTCTGGCTTCCTCCCTGCCCTCCCCTCAGCTCCCGGCAGAGCAAGTGTTTCCTACCCCAGTGGGGAGAGGGATGATGTTGGCCAGTCCCCTTGGCTAGGGGGACCCCAGAGCTGGTGCGGAGCCAGAGACACTTGCTGTCTGCTGGCTGTTCCCAGGCCTGTGAAGACTTGAGACACGTTCTCTGTTGGGCAGGTGGGTCCATCCCAAGGCCACCGTCCAGCGGCCTCCTGCTCTCCATCCCATGAGCGCTGCCTCATGGGCTGTAGCTGGGCTGTGCCGGGGGCCAGGCAGCCCTGGGAGGGTTTGTAGGAGTCGCTTGTCTGAAGCTGAGAGGTGGGTGGGGGCCTGGTTCTCTAGGTGACTCCCCACAGCAGGGCGCCCAAGGCGTGGCCAGGCAGGGTCACCTGAGGCCAGAGAGGACAGGGGCTATCTGTGGCATGTCAGCCCTGCCCCTCCAGCCTCCCTTCTCAGGCTGAGCCCTGTACTCCTTTTTTTCTGGGGACAGAGGTCTCCCAGGATAGCTTTGGGGGTCTTTGCTGCTTAGGCACCTGTCGGGAGGCACCAGGATAAGAGGGCCCCAAACTGCTGCCTGTGCTGATCCCATGCCCAGATGGCGGGCTCCATGTTCAGGGCGTCACCCAGCTCTCAGGCGCCCCCTGTGGCTCGGGCTGCTAGCACCTGTGCACTCCAAGGCCGAGGGGGGATGCCTACCCCAAGGGCCCCCTGTGGCTCCAACTGCACTCCAGGGCTGAGGGGGGATGCTGACCCCAAGGGCCCTCCCACCCATGGCTCCAGCTGCACTCCAGGGCCGGGGTGGAAGGGCACCCCAAGGGCCCCCCGTTGCTCTCCACATCAGGACCGAGAGGGCTGAGACCCCGAGGGCCCCCTGTGGCTCTGGCTGTCAGCACTGATGCACTTCATGGTCTCTCCCCACCCATCACGCTCTCCTCTCCCCCAGCCTCTTCGACATGGGTGGTGAGTATTACTGCTTCGCTTCCGACATCACGTGCTCCTTTCCTGCCAACGGCAAGTTCACCGCAGACCAGAAGGCCATCTACGAGGCGGTGCTGCGGAGCTGCCGCGCTGTCATGAGTGCCATGAAGCCAGGTGAGTGGGGCGGGGCTGTCAGGGCAGACCCATGCCTTGGGGGACAAGTGAGCATGTGGCCAGGCACCTATGAGGGGCAGGCCCTGGTTCTGCGGCCTGACTGCCCTCTCCCCCCGACCCCACACACACACATACCTGGCCAAAAAGAATTCAACGGTGTGTCCTTGAAAGCCCTGCTGTTCCCAGGATCTCCTAGGAAAGGAAGCTAGCTACAAAGCAGGGACAGAGTGGGATTAGGGGGACTCAGTCCCAAGGTCGCCCGTGTCCCATTGGGCTTCCTCCATCTGCACACCCCCTGCCTGCACTGGCCACTGCCCTGAGTCAGGGTCCTCTCCAGGGAGGGCCCAGTCAGTCTGGACTCTGGCCTCCAGTTGACAGTGGAGCAGGTTGCAGCCCCGCTCAGCTGCTCACTGTCTCTGACGCCGGGCAGAAGCTCCTCCCTGAGTGACTTCCTGGGATGTGGGGGAGCAGCACCTCTCAGCAGCTTGGGAGGACAGAGGTGTACCAAGCAAAGCACCCACGATGCTGCTTGGCATGTGAGTGCTCTATAGTGCTCCCTGTCACTGCTGTGACAGCGGCCTCAATCTGGACCCAGGCGTTTCTCCCTCCCAGCAGCCAGCTGGTTGATGGCCCCTGCGCCTGCCCATGCCTCCTCCCACGCCCACCCTGAGGGCCTCGGGGCATGGCAGTCCACCAGGCCCCACTGGGCTGTCCCGTGGTTGTGTGCCACATCCACAGAGTACAGGCTGTGTGGAGGACATGCTCTCGAGGGGGACTGGCTGCCCCCCACCCACCCGGCAAGGCCAACTTACTGGTGGCACCTCCGGGAGGCACATGTCCCATGTCACTGGCCTCACCCCTTCCCTGCATGGCCCGGGCGGTGGGATTCAGCACGTGCAGTAGTTCAGCAGCTGCAGGCTCAAACCCAGCTCTGGCCTTTGGTCTTTCTGCTCTGTCACAAGACGGCTTTTCTAGCAGTGATCCCTGCGTTTTCACCTTTTGCCTCAAGGGGAGCATTCAGGGAGGTGGGCTTGTCCTGTTCCTGCTGCAAGCTCTCTAGGACTTTCAAGATGGTCCCACCCTGAAGTCTGTGAATTCGTCAGCGCCTGAGCAGGTTTCTGAGGGCCACTGTGTACCCCACACACCCCCAGGTCACGTGGCTCCTGGTGACCGTTTGCTGTGACCTGATGGTCTCTCGGGCTGCTGCCAGGCCCCCGTCCTGGAGTCCAGACGGGGCTCTCCCTGCCTCTGCTCCATCCTGGCCAGTGACTCATGGAGCATGCCAGCTGCCTGTGTCAGTCACCCCACAGGGGGCACCCGTGTTCACACTGGTTCAGCCTCTTCGGTTGTAAGCAACAGAAATGGATCCTAGCCAAGTGAGGTCACTTGGCACCATCATAAACTGGTAGAAAGGTGGGAAAACCAGGCCTGAGATGGAGCTGGAGCTGAGGCGGCGCCGAGGTTTAGGAGTCCGCGGGTGTGGTGGGAGGGAGCCCAGGACCACTTTTGTCTCGACAGGACCAATGGACATGTGGCCTCCAGCCCGTTTCACTCTGGGGACACTCCATAAAGGTCACAGCACCAGGCGTTAGCCAAGTTCGGGCTGTAGCCCAACCGCCCCTGCTTCCTTTACCACCCCTCCCTCAGCTCCACAGCCCTCAGGAGAGGCAGGAGGGCCCTGGACTCTAGGCAGCTGTCCACCAGACTCCCTGGGTGGGGAGCTCATGTGTCCTCCACAAGGTGCGTCGGGGCCCTGGGGTGTGGCTTCATCGTCCAGCATGCCGGCTCTGGACTCAAGAGCCCAGCTGGTCACAGTCAGCCCTTGCTTAAGCCTTCCTGTCTCATCGTTCCCACAAGGAGGCCAGGAGAGGTCCTGACCTTCAGCACTGTTGGGGACTGAAAGAACCAGTCCTCATACAGTGCCTGGCCAGGGTCAGCGCCATCTTGTTGAGTGCCAACGCAGAGGTGGTTGCAGCTGGGCTTGGCAGGTGTGTTCAGTGTTCAGGAAGAGGTGAGTGGAGGACTGGGACCAGGACCTGGGCTGTCAGACTCCCATCCCTCAGTGAAGCCTTTCCAAAACACACCAAAACCCAGTAGTCTTGAGCCCCAGAGCCGTAAACGCCCCAGAATGTGGTACCCTGGTGGCTCATCAGCCCCTGTGGTCCTGCGGCCGGTTGCTGGGATGCGGTCAGCAGCCCAGTGCTGGAACAAGGGCTACTTCTCAGGAGTCCTCAGCAATGGCCGTTTCCAAGGGAGGCCCCTAGTCCAGCCCCGTGAGCACCCTCCACAGGCTAAGGAGCCATGGGGCGGTCTGGGCAGATGCCAGGCCTGTGCCCCACCCTGTCCCACGTGTCGGCAAGAACAGAGCTCCGGGAATAAATGATCCTGCGAGCGGGGAGCTCAGGGCTGCCCCAATGGGAAAACGAGGAAGGAAAACCTGCAAGCAAGTAGTCCCTGATGAGGTGATGGTGCTAACTGGATTTGCTGGGTTAGTAGCCGCAGAATAAATCAGCCTCTTGTGCTGAATTGTGTCTGTTTTTTTAAAAAAAAAAAAAAGCCACCTCCTTTAAATATTTATACGGAAAATGTCCGGGACAGATTGTTGTGAAGACAGAGGAGTGCAGGACAGGGTCGCTGGTTTGCCTGCTTCTGTGTAGCAGAAAGGGGGGAGTAAGAACTTGGCTTCACCTTTCCTTTCTGTGAAGTAGGTACAGGAAATGAGCGGGGCAGGGGGCTCTAACTATGTCCCTGCTTATACTTTGTGACTTCTAAGCCACATGAAAGCATCACTTATTTTAAAAAGTTGCCATCAATTCCAACTCATGGCAACCCCACGTGTCAGAATAGAACTGTGCTCCATAGGGTTTTCAGTGGCTCATTTTTCAGAAGTGGATTGCCAGGCCTTTCTTCCTGAGGTGCCTCTGGGTGGACTTAAACCACCAACCTTTCGGTTAGCAGCCCAGTGGGTTCACCGTGTGTACCACCAGGCACCCCTATGCGCCACTGAAACAAGCGAGAACCGCACCCGCTGCCATCACGTGGAGTGCAGAGGAGAAGTGCTCCACGGGGTTTTCTTGGCTGTGGTCTTTATGGAAGCAGATCACTAGGCTTTTCTTCCTCTGGTGGGTTCGAACCTCCAGCCTTTAGGTTAGTAAACCAAAAAAAACCAAACCCATTGCCACTGAGTCGGTTCTGACTCATAGCAACCCTATTGACCCTGTTTAGGTTAGTCGTCAAGCAGAAACCATCTGTGCCGCCTCTGCTGATTAAATCCGGCATCGTGAAGCAGTCACCCTGAGGGGCGTATCTCCTCTCTTTGCACCAAGGATGAGGATGTTTTGCTCAGTTTAGAACGATATTAATAATTGCAGTTGTACATGTTTTGGATGCAGTGAAAATCTTTGGTTAGTGTAAATGCACAGTGGTATGTTCTTCTAGTGTCTGTAAGGACGTCTCCCCCACCCCCCATCCCTCCAGGGACCTAGCCTCTGTGAGATGCCCAGGTCTCTGTGCCACATGGTGTCCACAGGGCTGGCTTCAGCATGCTCCCTGCTTACGCCACCCTGCAGCTTGGCCAGCGTGGGCTGTGCTGTTGTGTAGGTTATGTAACCTGTGCCCCCATTACTTTAAGTGACGTCTGCAGACATCCACAGGTACCTTTAGATGTCCAGGAGGTCTACGCCCCTGAGAGGGCCGACGTGTCCCCCTTTCACTGAGCAGAGACCAGGACAGAAGCAGAGCTGTCTGGTGGGGCAGGGGTGCCCACCCTGAGCCCCATCTCTGCTTTACGCGCACACCTGGTGCCGAGGAGCACAGCTGTGGTCAAGGCCAGTCAGGAGCACGGAGTGCGTCCCCTTGGGCCTGAGCCTGTCACCAGCCACAGGACAGAGGGAGTAAGGGTTGTCTACAGCCCTGGACGCAGGGCAGGAGGAGGCAGGCAGGATACGGAGCAGGGGGCTGTGTCCGCAGCCATTGTGGTCAGCAGGGACTCAGGGCAGGGCCTCTCCAGGGGCTCTTTGCCCACCGCAGAGCTCCAGGCCTCTAGGCCCTTGTGCTGCTCACTCCTCACCTACTGCTGAGATGGGGTGACCAAGGCCTGGCCGGACCCCAGCTGTCCACCCACCCACAGGAATGTCTGTGGGGGTCCTGGCTGGCTCAGTGGCCCAGCTCAGCCATCTCAATTCTATACAGAAAGTGGCCAGGCCCCCGAGCAGATCCCTGGGGTGCCACATCCCGCAGGGAAGGGCCTGGGGCTTGGTCTGGCATGCACCTGGCCACCCCGGTTCTGGGGAATTGCCTGGCCCAAGGCCTCAGGCTGGCCTGGGGTAGCGGGAGCAGCCAGGCTGAGCGGGTCTCTGCAGATCATGTGGGACAGACTCTCCCTGGCCCCATGCCCACTATCTCACTCCTGTCACCGAGCGGGGCACGGGCCGGACCTGGGCTGGGGTCATAAGGTTCCCATGTGGCGAGGGGATGGAGCAGAGCCCCCAGCAGTAACCCCCCCCCCACCTCTACCACCTGTACGTTGAGATCGTGACATGCTAACTGTCCCCACGGCAGGGCCTGATTCCATCTGGGTGAGACACAGTGCAGGCCTCGTGGGTTGGGGTGGGTCCTGTGCCCACAGAGCTGCTTGGGACAGTGGGGGGCGGTCGTTGCCTCATAGCGGCGAGGAGGCTGTGGTCAGGCCGGCCCCATGCCCTGTCCTAGCGGAAATGCCCCTGGTTTGTGGGTGCAGCTCCTGGGCCAAGACAAACAGCCCCCTGAGACTGTGGGCCTGCTTCCTGTGGCCGTCCAGGGAGAGCAAATAAACAGGGTCAGGAAGTCACACCAAGATGCCCGAGGTTCACACGGCCCCGGGGATGGAGGGATGCAGGCCTGTTGCCGGAGAGCCAGCCATCCTCACTGTCCCAGACAAGAAGGAAAGGCAGGGCCGAGGAACGCTGGCCGTCAGGAGTCACGGGGGTGGCGGGCAGGGAGAGTGCCATCCACGCAGCCTC